GACAGAGGTGGGAAAGACACTCCTGTCCACTGCACCCACAGTTTGCCGTTCATATGTATCTGCTGGCTTTGCCCCTGCCTTGGGCTGAGCTCACTTGCTCTTTCTTACCAGAACAGGTAAAGATCAAAACGAGTACAGGCAGCCTAAAAGTGCTGAAGAACTCTGAACAAATAGCATTTATCTCATGTGTTGATATTCCTGTCTTCAGGTTGACAAACGGTACCATCAGATTCATGGGGCATGGAACAGTGAAGAGCATATAAAACAAGGCACAGACATTTTGTGTCAGTCAATAAATGATATTCAGAAAAAATTCCCAACATGGAGTAAGGAACAGCAGCTCAAAGGTAGGTCTTTATCAGCTTTAAAATGTCAACCTTATAACAATCCATATGCATAAAAGTCAAGAATGGTAATGCTGTCAAACCAAGCACTTAGAAAACTAAACACATCCTGGTTACCCTGTTAGTTTTATTAGTGTGTGGAATAATATTTCATGATACTCACTAAAAGGAAGAATGCCATTATCTTTCTAGCAAGCTTTTGGAAAACTTGACAAATCATTATGTTTTCAGTTGCAAGAAGTAAGGTGTTTTTTTCTTCCTCATCTGCCCGTTTGCTTTTTTTTGTATTTCTATATCTACTTATAAAAAGCTGTCATTTCACAACTCCAAAGAGAGACTATCAATTTCTGAACTGTATGGTTCTCACTGAAGGAAACATGGTTCATTCCCAGACACTGACCACGGCTGAAGCCATCATTATGGTTGGCCCCTTGATATCCAGCTATGACACAAACATGCCTGATGTTATCAACATCACAAAAGGAAGCAATACTACAAAAGAAGATGTTAGATTTGCAAAATACAGCAAAGAAACAATGATCACTAAGCTTGGATGTAAACCATAATTTCTTAAGAATGCTAAAATGCAAATGAAACACCTTGGTGATGAAAACAGCTGAAAATGGTAACACTGCAGCCAAAAAATACTGGTAAAAAGACACCAACAAACTCAAGCGATACGCTTAGGTTGTGATTTTTATTTGTTTACTGAGGAAATACTACCTTTGTTTGAGTGTTTCTTTCTCATTTCAGGTGGGATTTCAGCCTATAATGCAGGAACGAGAAATGTCCAGACCTATGAAGGAATGGATGTTGGCACAACACACGACGACTATGCCAACGATGTGGTTGCAAGAGCCAAGTTCTTTCAGAGACACGGATACTGAGAAAGATATTTGAGTAATTATACAATACTTATGGCAAATGCTTTTACATTACCAAAATTGCAAATCGTTAGTCAGTAGGTGATTTTGTTGCCCATTTTGTACTGCTGTTAGACATGCATATTGATCAATAAAATCCAAAGCTGCTCCTGTTAAACAGCATTATGACTCCTTCCTGCAGCATTAATTTGCTACCTGAGAAATTACAAGAGATGAAGACTGCTTGAATCTTTTCTGAAGTGAAAAAAAAAACAATGGCAAAAGATAGGTTACAGTTTGGATCATTAGCTACCTTTTATTCTTTTTCATCTTAGCAGAGCAAATCATTGCAGGCAAACACCAGTTCTTGCAATATACTGTATACTTACATGTATACAAAAGTACTGTATACTTTTAGTCTGCTACAAGAGTGCATCTCAGTGTGTCACTCCCCCTTGGATTTATTGCTCTATTATCAAACACATACTAAAGCATTTGGAGAACCTTAGCTTCAGAGCTGTTGGTTTGAATCAGCTATTTCAAGACAAAGGGGAGAAAAGAAAGAAGTTTAGAGTAGCTAAAAGAAAAGCAGCAAGTGTATCACTAGGAGCTACAAAAGATAATGTGGGGGTTTTTCAACCATGCATTTTTATAGTTCTATTACAGGCTTTTTATATTTGTCATTTAAAATATCCTCAGCAAAAGAATTTTTAAAAATCTTCTTAAAATAGTGCATTTCTACATATGTATGTTTCTGTATTGGTACCAGACACTGCACCAAAGATATGTTTGATTCCTTTGAATATATTTCAAGTTCTATGGCAAGCAGACATAGCAAATCAATCCTGTCCAACAAGCAAGCCTAACACAAGCTAGCAATGTGCCCAAGTAGCCAAGGAGGCTGAAGACACCCTGGACTGTATGAACAAAAGCACAGCTCTGCTGAAGGAAGAGATTACTTGCATCTGCTGAGCACTTTCCAGTTCACTTCTAGAACAGAGCTGTTTTAGGCAAAGAGAAGACAAATTAAGTAGAGTGAGGTTGGCAGCAGAGAGCCCCCAGGGTGCATGGGGCTGGAGGACTTGTCTCATGAGGCAGGACAGCTTTGGGAGGGAATGCCTCGTATCTGGGAGGGATAATGGAGGGGATGGAGCCAAGCTACTCACAGTGGTGGAAGGTGGGAGGATAAATGACAACAGGCATGAGCTGAAAGAGAAGCTCACACAGGGTAAGACTGTATTCTGCATCTACATCTTTCCCCCCATGAGCATAGCTGAGCTGCAGAGCAGGACATTGGACCAAAGACCTGCAAGGTACCTTCCAACCTGAATTTTTCTCCCATCTTAAGTCAGCTTCTTTGTTCCCTACGCAAAAAGCCTGTATCTCTTACCTGTGCTTCAGGAGGATTTACATGGGGACTATGTTAACACACAGTAGGTTTTTGCACTTTGTTCGGCTCAAGTTTTACACCTGAGGATAAACCTTTAGAGAACTTATGTTTACACACAGAAAATCTGGGAAATTCTCACTGCAAGCTGTTGTGACCTTAGAGCAGATAGTATTTCAGAAACAACCAAACTGACACATACGTTAAAAATGTTAAGAAAATGTAATTTCTTTTCTCATGAAAACTGACAGTCTGTCAATGGCATACATTTCTTGTAGCTAAACCTTACCCATAAAGAACAGGAACTGTCCAAAATGTTTTCCATTCTCTGCACTTGGGAAGCAGGGACTAGCTCTGCTCTATCACAGGCAGTTTATCAAATACATAAGCTGTGCACAGTACTAAGCAAGCCTGGTCATTAATACATCTTTTTCAGTTTACATTTCAGTACTTTTGAAGGTTGCAGTGTCTGTACAGTGAATTGAGAGATCTGTATAGTAACGGAGAGAGATCCTGTATTTGTATATGTTGTGTAAAACAAAACTGGCAGTGCACCCTCTGTTGGAGACTCACCAGGCTGCACTGCTGCAGACATCCCAAACACACTTGCAAAGACTTTAGAACCCCTGGCTTTGTCAGTTTAGGCTACCATTCCTAGAGCAGGCCTTGTATCTGCTGTCCCTCAGCAACAAGGCAGATGAACAACATGTCCTTCATAAGGGCTGAAATTTCAGCTTTACCAAGCACCTCCCTGTGGGAACGCAGAAACCACCATACAGACTGCAGTTACACTACAGCACAAGATGTTGTGCAGACACTGAAATGAAGGACAGAGAACAAAAAAAAACCCACACAATTTATCTACCTCATTTTTTCCCTTGCTACTCTATATCCTTCAGTCTTTTCTGTGTCCTGATTGCAGCCTGTAGTTTGTTGAGAAACTGAGGTTTTTCAACTCAACCCACGTCTGTCTTTGGCCTGTCTTCAGGAGCCATCTCACCCTTCAATGTACTACTATATCCTATCCTTTGCCTTTTTTCTGCACACAGTATATCTAGCTGTTATGTCCTTCTACTGATAATGTATACTCCTTAGAACTTCTACAGGCTTTTACTCTTCCCTGCAAGCATGCAGAAAGGATAAACATTCATTTTCAGCCACTGTATCCCTCTGATCTTTCCACAACATACAGTAATTAAGATTAGCTCCTCTACAATGTCTCTAGTGTGGGAGAGGCTCACAGCACAATAAACGATGGAATTTATGCTTGCTGGAATGAAAACTACTTTATCACTTGATATAGCAGCAGCTTCCTAATTTTAGCCACAATTCTTAAATAGTAAATAAAAGCTGTCTTTAAATCATTGCACACAGTACTATTCAAGACACTCCAGTGAAAGGTCTTATTTTATATGCTTGGAGCTCTTAACTGCTAACTTGTATCAAACAAATACGCTTCAGGGTTTCCAGATTTCTGTTAGCATGTGAAAAGCATTAACCTTCATAAAGACTACAAAAAAAAAAAAGTGAAAAAAGTGAAATCAAAAGAAAGCTGGCCATTAGGGTGAGGAGGTGACTGTTCCCCTCTGCTCTCCAATCATGAGCCCCTCCTTCTACCCCCAGTCTGGGGCCTCTAGCACAAGAAGGATGCAGGTTAGAGCAGGTCCAGAGGAAAGACACAAGGATGATTGTAGGGCTGGAGCACATCTCCTATGAAGAAAGGTTGAGGAAGTCGGGCTTGTTTAGCTTGGAGAAGAAAAAGCTCTGGAGCGTCCTCATTGTGGTCTTCCAATACTTAAAAGGTGAGAGACTTACTTTTTACATGGTCTAATAGTGATAGGAGAAGGGGGAATGGTTTTAAACTAAAAGAGGGGAGGTTTAAGTGGATGTTAGGAAGTAATTTCTTACTCAGACTGATTAGGTCCTGGCACAGCTGCTCAGAGAAGCTGTGGTGCCCCATCCCTGGAGGGGCTCAAGGCCAGGTTGGATGGGACTCTGGGCAGCCTGAGCTGGTGGGGGGCAGCCCTGCCCATGGTAGAGGTGGGGCTAGGTGGGCTGTGAGATCCCTTCCAGCCCAAGCCATTCTGTGATTCTACAATTCTATTTTAAGATACAGGACAGGCCAGATGAAACTGCCTGCTAAGAAACAAACATGAGATTTGAATAACAGAGGTAAGCCACTCAAATGCCTGCATCAATAAATTGAGCTCTGAACGGACAGTCAGTCAGCGCTCAGGTAACCCATGATCAAAAAAGCTTTTCAATTCCTGTTTTTTTTTTAGTGTAGGAAAGGTGAAGTCATGCACCCTCATTGCAAACCTTTGCAGTTAGCTGCCAAATACACTATCATTAGTTAGATCTGTTCTATGTACATACCAGCTTCCATTTCACACACAAGCTCTTAACTCAGGACTTAAATTATTTATTTTAGAAAACATAATTCCAACCAGCACACCTCATGACTTAATTTCTTCCTGCTCCACGGGTTTCAGACGCTGTTTAATGATAAGCTCTCCCTTGCTCGTAAGAAGGGTGTCTGCCATTTCCTCTTCTGTTGGCAACCCATATGGTAGTTTCAACGGCTGTATTCTACAGGTAGAAGAGTGTGTTTAGTAAGATTCTAGGACTAGAATGGAATTGTATCAGTATCCCAAATTAAACACATAGCTAACAAACCTTATCAGATGTTTAACAACTTTCAGTCTGGAATTCACAGAAGGGATATTTTTGTGCAGTCTTGGTTGATGCGCCTATAGAAAGGATAATATTGGTTTTAAAAACACAGTTCCAAAGTACAAATCTCTGTTCACCAAACTTTTCAGTAACACATAAACCGCATTTGCAAATTTAGATTTGGAGAAATAATACTGATGTACTATGACCATGATGTGATGATGTAGTATGATGTACTTATACATGAAAATATGAAACCAAAGCTTGATCAAACTCATGATTCCAGTAAAATGCCAATTTCAGCTTTATTCCCGCTACATTATCAATATATTCAAATTTCTTCCAAATGTTAGAAATGCCTACACATAAATACAGTGTGAGACTTGCTTCAGTTAGGCCTTAAACTCATCACTTTTTTCCCCTCCAAGATATAATATTAACTAGATGAATTTTTGCACAAAGTGCAATTCTACCTAAAAAAAAAGTGAATAAATCTGACACGAACTCTTAAATCTGTTTGAGCACTCATCACACCTTTTAGATTCAGAAAACTTTTCATTAATAAATGAGGTCTATTTGCAATATCTGCTTAATATCACCTAGCGAGAAAACTGAATTTGAAGTATTTGCAAATCTGTTTTTATTATTTTAGCAGAATTCTGAAGATAAAGTTCTCCTCGGGCACTACAGCAATACCATGTATTCATAATCTGAATTCCTACTAACAAAAATTTTCATTACTGTTCCTATCTGCTCTTACACACATGACCCAGTTCTCAATTATGCTTCATAGTAGCTGTAAAACAATCCAAGTTTTGTGATTGCATATAAAGCACACAACAGCAACAATGAAAATCAAGAAAAAACATCTGAATTCTACCCTGTGTTTCTGCATCCTGGATGCACATTGCGAGTAAGAATAACCACAAATTCCATACCTTATCCAGTCCAAGATCATGTATGATCTTCTTCTCCCAATATGGGCGACCGATTACACTTTTGATCCTAGTAACAATATGAACTTTGTGGGGCTGCTCAGGGTCACCTCCATACTTCTCATGATCTCCAGGCCGTGGCTGAAATACCTAGAGCAAAAAGTTCATAGTTTTCAACCCTCCAAATCACACTTTAGCCTTGGTAAAAATCTAACATCTCCAATTAAATTTCTTTTCATAAGGTCAACTTGCCAAGCGATAGAATCACAGAATCATAGGGGTAGGAAGAGTCCTCTGGAGATCACTGAGTCCACCGCCCTGCTGAAGCGGTTCCCTACAGCAGGTCGCAGGAAAGCGTACAGGTGGGTCTCAAATATCTCCATAGCAGGAGACTCCACAACCTCTTTGCAGCCCGTTCCACTGCTCTGTCACCCCCACAGTAAAGAAGTTCAAATGCAGCTTTTATAGCACTGTGAAAATTATAATGGATTGCTAATACATTAACTCTGAAGTTAGGCCACATGACAGCACGGATACATGGCGTTCTGTAATAGCACAGCGCTTATGACACATGCACCTCACAGGACAACCTCTGTTTAGCTTACGAGTCAAAAGTTTTGTCACAGGACTAAGAAACTTTAAGATTTAGGAAAAGTCGAATGCAACTTGGCTTCTGAACCGTTGTGAATAAAGCCGCCACATCACAGAAGGCCCAGAACGAGCAGGCCAGTATCTCTCTGCCGTAATTCCACGGCTTTCAGCCTCCTCTAGGAGGGCAGAACGTACCGACTCGGGAATTCTCGATTTGGTGAACTTGTGTCGAGCCCATGGCGCGGGCACGATGCCTTCCGGTCTTCTCCCCAGCACCTACCAACAACAAAGCGGTCCCCATTAACTACATCTCACGGCGGCTGTAGAAGAGCCCCCCAGCCGCAGGTCTTCCCAACGCCCACGTCTCCCCGTAAGCAAAAGCCGCGGCCGCCCCGACCGGACCCTCTCCATGCCAGCATACGGTCGCCCCCACCACCCCCTCACCGCCTTCCAGGCAGCGCCGAGCCGCAACCCCCCCCGGCCCGCCGCCATGTCGATGTGCAGCCTTCCGGCCGGGCACCGCCACCGCAGCGCTTGGGTTCCGAGGGAGGAAGGGCAGCGGTGAAGCGCAGCCCGCCTCACCGGCCCGGTTTCGATTTCCCCGCGGCTCCTCCTCCATCCCCACAGCCCGTCGCCGTGCCCATGTCTCGGGTGGGGGGCGATGGCACCGGCGCGCTGGAGCGGGCCGGAGCGGAGACGTTGAAGCGGGCGGTGGAATTGGACCTGGCGTCTCGCTTCCAGGAGTCCCTGGTGTGCTACCAGGAGGGCATCGACCTGCTGCTGCAGGTGGTGAAAGGTACCGGGCTGCGAGCGGGAGCGGGGGACCGTGCGGCCATTAACACCGTGCTGTGTGCGGGTGTTGGACCGCGGCCATCTCGGGGCTCGCCCGGAGACCGCCGGCTGCGATGAGACACGAGTCGGGAGGCTGCATCGTCCCTCTCCCCTCTCGCCTCTGGGGAACCTGGGGCCTGGCCCCGGGAGAACTCATCTCTGCGGTTCTGGTTGGCAGGAACGAAGGATGAGGCAAAGAAGCAGCGGTACCGGCAGAAAATATCCGAGTACATGACCAGGGCTGAAGACATAAAAAAGTATATTGAGAAGGAGAAGCAAGGTGTGCAGGCACCACTGTCTTGCTCGCATTTAAATGTTTGATGTTACCCGGGGATTATGTCACGATTTTACTGACAAAGGTGCTTTTTTTCTTTTTTTCTTTTTTTTTCTTCAGATGGCAAATACCATAAGCAAATCAGGATAGAGGAAAATGCAACAGGTTTTGGCTATGAGAAGCTTTTCCAGGAGTATCTGACTGAGATTGTTTCTGAAGTATGGGTGGAGGACCCCTACATTAGGCATGTCCATCAGGCAAGTAGATATTCAGTGTTGCATATCACAGAATCAGTATGGTTGGAAAAGACCTCTCAGATCATCCAGTCCAACCTCCAGCCCATCCCCACCATGCCCACTGACCAGGCCCCTCAGTGCCACATCTACGTGTTTCTTGAACACTTCCAGGGACAGTGACTGCACCACCTCCCTGGGCAGCCTGTGCCACTGCCTCACTGCTCTTTCTCAGAAAGGATTTTTCCTAATATCCAACCTGAACCTCTCCTGACACAACTTGAGGCCATTCCTTCTCATCCTGTTACTCTTACCTGGAAGACGAGGCCAACCCCCATCTCATCACAACCTCCTGTCAGGTTGTAGAGAGCGATAAAGTCAGAAACATCTGAAGCTGTGCTACCATTTCAACCCCTATGTCCTCTTTTATAAGCAGCCTATGTATTTCCTTGAATTCCTGCATTCCAGTCCTGACTGCTGTTCTGCTGTGTTTTAATTGATGTAGCAGCTAAAATAATCCAAGTTACTGAATTACACAAAATTGTTACAGTTGTATAATTTCCTGCGATTCTGTGAGATGCTGGTTAAGGGGCCGTGCAAAGTGAAAACAATCCACCTCCTCACTTCCTATGATGAAGTAAGTGTCCAGGTTTCAATTTCCATTTCTCTGTATCCAGGTAACACCACACAAACACACCCAGCATGCCTACATGTATACATGAATGTTTATATTTAAATACAAATTTATTCATATTTACAAGTACTTGTTTGAGAGTGGCTTCAATGCCTTCAGTAGAAATCACAGATTTAGAGGAAAAACTGTGATAGCTGAACATTAATAATTTCATAAATTCAGAGTTTTTTCATAACAAATTCTTGGTAACGGGATTTTAAATGGAAAAGTTATTTTGGTGAAAGGTTTTTTTTTTTTTTTTTGTGGAAAATGTTATTAAAAAAAAATAATCTCTGTTGAGATACTTCTTTTTTCCAACTGCTTGTATAGCTCTCATTTAAGAGCTTTCGGTGAGCTAAAGCTTTCAAACTACCCCTGCATTTATGCTGGCTCAAATAGTAATCTGTGTCTAGCTTTAAGGGGTTGAGTGAGATCTTCCTCCACATACCTTAGTAAGTGTACCTGTAATCTGCCTGCTTCTTATCCTGTCCCATGAAAATGCGAATGTGCCCTCACTCAGATGGCTTTCTTTGGGTTTAAATTATTACTAAAAAGGTTTTGTAGGGGATTTTAGGAAGCGGTGACCAAAAATAGGATATATGTTTTTTTAAAAGAAAGTGTTATCTTTATTTTTAACAGGGCAGTGGGAGGAATCAACAGACAAGTGGCTTGGAAGAAATAAAGCAGTCATTGAGGAATCATGGGATAACACTGAATGTTTCATTTTCATCTTCAATCCATGATCGAGAAATTAGGTGGGTGATATTAAAAAAATTAGTGAATTCCAGTTATTTAAACTAATTAGCCCTAGTTGCTGGGATAATTTCTAATTTTTTTAATTTGGTGTACTCATGGTTTTCAAATTCATTTATTTTTAATAACAGATTCAACAATGGATGGATGATTAAGATTGGAAGGGGTCTTGATTATTTTAAGAGGCCACAGGTAAAAACACTCAAACCTCCTTAATTAACTTCCATGGTAGAATAGCTTATTCTGTGTTACCCATGTCAATTCTCTTAATTTCCATAGGGTCGTTTTAGTATTGGATACTGTGACTTTGACTTGCGACCTTGCCATGAAACAACAGTGGATGTCTTTCATACTAAACATACAAAGAAAATGTAATCAACTGTAACTGCTTTTAATGAGTGTTTTTATAAGCATAGAAATGTAAATTTGTACCACTTGGGTCCAACTGTCCATCATCAGAAGCACTCCGGAACAGATACTTGGTCCAGCACTGCTTTTATAATCCATAGATTTAAGGATATTTGTGCCTTTACAGTCTGAGAAAACAGAGCTGTACAATTCTTCCACTCTACTTTTTTATCCTGTAATCTTAGAGAATACAACCCATGTCTAAATACAACCTATGTCTTAAACTTAACATAACTTAAACTTTACGGAGAAGGGGTTTTATACCAGCCTTAGTAATGTTCCTTAAAGGCCTCTTTACTGTTATTTTGCTATTAATTTTGTTTGTCTTGAGCAAATTTTGCAGGTTTTAATTTTAATTGACCACCTCAGAAACATCTGAAGCTGTGCTGCTATTTCAACCCATATGTCCTCTTTTATAAGCAGCCTATATATTTCCTTGAATTCCTGCATTCTAGTCATGACTGCTGTTCTGCTGTTTTAGTTGATCCCATAATACCTGATTTCACAAACTACAAATAACCCCATATCTAGCATTCCATTCTCTAAGCTCCTTGCATGCAAACATTGTAGTGTTCAGTATGCAGACATATTAGAGTCTTCCTGTACATCTCTCTGAATGATGGATTTGGGGCAGAAAAGATGCAAACAGTGTTCTAGCTGTATTCTTTCCAGTATTGCTCATGTACGTTCCTTTATTCCTTGCTGCGTTGTCATATATCTGATTTCTATACTTTGCATTAGGCATGGAAAAGTTGTGTGATCCTCTCCCAGTCTTCTCCTGACTTCAGGTTCAGCAAGTTCAGTGTCTGTACTTCTAGTCATGCCAGTCAGAACTGCAATAAGCTATTGCCCTGCTACTAAGCCCCTTTAAAAAAAAAATAAATAGTAATAACGTTTTTTAAATTACTCCAGAGGTTGCATAACCCAAAACTTTCTTGTTTCTTTTTCCTGTTGTATTTCATTATCCCTCTTTAAGTCTTGCCTCTAACAAAACAGATCTATTCCAAAGCTATCAACAAGAAACTGCTGGTCTTTGCCCTGTTTTATGGGTAACAGTTTGCCAATGGTCTGCCTTGATGTTTTTGCATAAAGATGTCTCAGTTTTTCAGTGTTGAATCAGACAAAGAATACTGTGTGCCACAGAAGTTATATGCTACCAGGACCCTCAAAACATTCCATAGAAAGTCCCTGTCTTCCTGCTGAGATAATGTGTGTAGTTACTGTCATTGATTATTCAGTTGTACATAACATATGCATATTTTTAATGGGAATAAAGGTTATTTTTTATTATTTGTAATTTAAGTCATCTGTCTAAATTTTTCTACAACTCCAAGAAGCCAGGTAATGTCTCAAAGATCAGCTATTGATGAGAAGAAGTTCATTGTGAATACATTAAGCATCCTGAATGTGAAACTTTGTATGTTTTCACCTAGTCCGGATTTCAGACATACAGGGGCTAAATGAAAAACCCCCATCAATATTTCAGATCAACTTTAAATCTTAGTTCTCAGTTAGCAATCGAGATCTTTTAAACTCAGGACTGATGGGTGCCTTACGCTTTCTGCATCCTGTCATACCATATGCTTCTTCATTCCAGCAGTAAGCCCAGTGGTGTGGTCCTGTACTGGTACCACAGGAGGTAACCCTGGTCTTCTCTCTTCATTTGTAGACCTTCCTGTGCTTCTGACTGCAAAATAGCTAAGGCTACTGATTTCTTTCCATATCTTTTGAATATGCACTATCTGTATATATCTATACTACTAGACCCTCAGTGACATATAACAGTGACTGTTATAGTGCAGTGAAGTTTTTCTAAGTTCTTTATCTTTACATAGTTCCCTTAATTGTCAGTAGGAACGCTGTATGAAGAGAAATGGACATAAATGAATAGAAAGTTACCTTCTTCAGCATTTATTTTATCAGAGCAATGTAGGAGCACAGGGTTTGCAATCATTTTACTGATTTCTGGTCATATTCTATGCTGCCACTCATGTATGTAGTTAGGTCAACACCTGGATTGTTCAGGCAAGGCTATGCCTCCTGGTACCAGCTAAAAAGAGGGAAAAGTGATTGGAATTCTGGTAAAAGAAAAGGGAGAAAGGTAATTGTATTTCTGGTAAAATCAAGGAGTGGTAGGTTAGGAAAGTCTAGTTTGCTTATGATTACATTGTGAGTGTGGATGACACTGAAGTGGTATGCTGCCACCCTGAGCTGAGCTGCTCCAGAAGGTTATGGAATAGTCAGTCCTTCCTGGGCCAATTAGCCCCTTCCCTGCCTCTGGTAATAGCATGAGCCTCTGTATTTTGTAAACAGTTAAAACCAACATGGTGAGGTTTGGGCTAGACACTCAGCTAGAGGACCACTGG